ATAGCCGCATGGGAACGGTGGTTATTATATTATACAAGTGTAGAACGAACGACTAAGTAGTTGATGAAGTGTGCAAATATGCTTCCTGTTCCCAGGCTCCACCTATTTCTCCAGCTGGTCAGCCCTTATCCAAAGTAGGAACCAAGTCAAATTTCATTTCCTGTATAGAGAATACTCTCATCTGCATGAATGACTTTGTCTTTGAACTCCATGCTCTTAACACTCTAAAGGAAATCATTAAGTTAGTCTACAAAATTTTGATTAAAATGTATGTAAGCTTTGGCATAAATAAATGTAATATTGCTATTTTCTGTGAATTGAAAGCTTATAATCCTACATACTTTATACATCATTTTTATTTATTTTATACATCTTGTGTCATCGTCATATTACAATTCTAAAATATGAATAATTTCCATTTCAAGTATAAATATTCCTTTAAAATCATTGATTTATTGATTGGTTTTGTGTGTGGGGGGGTGTATAGTGTGTGACATGGGGGTACTTGTGTTGATCAGAGGAAAACTTGCAGGAATCATTTTCTTTTTTTCATGTTGGTTTTAGGATTAAAGTCATCCTGAGGCTAGGTGGCAAGTACCTTCCCCTCCTGCGCCATCTTGTCAGCCCGTAATTCCTTTTTTTTTTTCATTAGGAAACCGTGACCTAGAGAGGTGACTTGTCCAGGTCAAACAACCAGTGAATGATGGAGCTACAATCTGCATCAAGTCCATGACTGGTGGGGACCTTATCAGACTAGGCAGAATCAAATGGGACACTTCAAACATTCAAATGGATGGTCTCTGGAAAATCAAAATAAAACTAATCTTCTCTGAGATGCATCTGTTAACAATCATAGGTTAGTGGGAATAGAAGATTGTGGGTCAATTTACAAGAATCCAATTCTATCATAGGTTCACCATCACTTTCCAAAGGACAAGTGGCTCCCTCTAGTGACAGCTGATGGAAATAACAGGGCTAGCAAATAGAAGTGAAAATAACGTTTCTTGGTGAGAAAGAAACACAATGCAAGGTGTGTGTGTGGGGGGGGGCATTTTTTTAAAACGCAGAACTCAATTTCAGAAGACCTGATATAGACATAGACATCCTGGTCACGCTTAACTCATAGTGTCTTTTAAGAGAAGCCTAACTTTCTAACTACGCCATTCATCACAGGGCAAGCTGGTGACTCATTTGCTATACTAAAATCACCACTCCTACAATAACTTTTATGGTAAATTTTTTATATTTAGTATTTCTATTTATGTATGTTGCTAGGTTATATTATCTATGAACTTCATTGCAAGAAGGTAAATCATATTTTAGAAATATTTGTCATACAAAAAATTACATTTGTTCTGATAATTTTGGCAAAATACTGAATTTGAGGACCAGGCATAACTACTTGCCTTTTCTCAAAACAGAAAGGAAACGAATGAACCGGTCCTTAAATATTAATCTGTTTATGGATGAGGAGGGAGAAAATATGTATCAACTTGACTCCGCCTTTATGCTTTTATGTTGAAGTGACGTCACATTCTGTTCAGAGAGCATCGGATTCAAATCTCTTGGGCTCAGATCATTCCTCTGTCATTTTCTATGCTACATTGGTAAACAACTCAGTTTCTCCTCGTCTCAGATCCACAGGGAGTAAAATGAATGTCCTAACACTTCACAGGATTCTTATAAGAGCCATACGATGTGGCGTTTATGACAGCGATAGATGCGCCAGTAAGAACAACCACAAAGCATCTTCCAGAAAAATAGGAATTCCTAAACAAACCCAGAGCTTTGTCCCCCCAGAACAGAGATTAGAAGGGAATTGTGTTTTTATTATTGTTTTGAGACGGCGGCGTCTCCCTCTGTAGCCCAGGTTAGCCTAGAGATCGCGATCCTCCTCCGAAACGACAGGCAAGAACCCGTCCTACGAGACTAGAATGCATAGTTCTCATTTCTAACAGTGGGGGTGGGGGCACAATGGCATCCGCCTCGGTTAGATAAGGACATTTTTGCTCCGAGCTTTTTCGAATGTCAGGCGATATTTTTACCTTCTTACATAACTAGAAAGCGGATGCACTCATTGGCAGACCTTCAGCCACAGTAGGCAGTGGAAAGGCTGTGCAGCCACAACGGCTGCAGCCGAGATTTTTCCAGAAGCCCTGCAAGCATCCCCGCCCCCCCATCCCTGCCTTCAGTCTCCGAGGATGACCGAGATGCCTTGCGCAGCAAGCTCTCGCGATCTTTGCGGACTGCGGCTCTGACGTCACCGCCCTGGAGACAGAGAAGGGGCGTAGCGGGAGCTGCGTGCGCTCTGAGGGGAGTTGTGTGTGCACCGAGGGTGACGCGACCGGACCCGGCATGAGCGGCCCGGAGCAGGACGAGGGGACCCCTGTGCCCCCCAGCCACGGCCACTGCGATGCTGACAGTGTCCCGGGGAGCCCAGGCCGGCGTCCGCTGCTCGGCGAGGGCAGCTCGGCCACCGTGCTGACAGGTGAGGGCCTAGCGGAGACCGTGACGAGCCCGGCGCCGCGGGGTGTCGTGGGGCTTGAGCCCCAGATGCGGGTGACCGCAGCCGGGCAGGGAGAGATTCCGCCTCCCGCCTCGAGTCTCCCGGCCGCTGCGCCCGAGGCTCCGGAAGACGGAGAGACGGCCAAGGCCGATGACGTCGCAGTGGCTGTAGCAGCTGAACCGTTTCAAGTGGCGATGGAAGGAAAGGAGGAGGTGATGGAGGTGGAGCTCCCGGGTGAAGAGATGGAGATGCTGGAGGCGAGGGGAAGGCTGAGGGAGATGGAGGAGGAGGCAGGGCCCTGGCATCTGGGCATAAATCTCCGCATGAACCCCTTGGAGGCCATCCAGCAGGAACTGGACACTGTGAATGCGCAGGCTGACAGGGCCTTCCAACATCTGGAGCAGAAGTTTGGGCGGATGCGGCGACACTATCTGGAACGGAGGAACTACATCATTCAGAATATCCCAGGCTTCTGGATGACTGCCTTCCGGAACCACCCTCAGTTGTCCGCCATGATTAGGGGTCAGGATGCAGATATGTTAAGGTACGTAACCAACCTGGAGGTGAAGGAACTCAGACACCCTAAGACTGGTTGCAAATTCAAGTTCTTTTTTCGGAGAAACCCCTACTTCAGAAACAAGCTGATCGTCAAGGAATATGAAGTGAGGTCTTCCGGTCGAGTGGTGTCCCTTTCCACTCCGATCGTATGGCGGAGGGGATATGAGCCCCAGTCCTTCATTCGCAGAAACCAAAACCTCATCTGCAGCTTCTTCACCTGGTTTTCAGACCACAGCCTTCCAGAATCCGACAGAATTGCTGAGATTATCAAAGAGGACTTGTGGCCAAATCCACTGCAGTACTACCTGTCCCGGGATGGAATCCGTAGACCCAGGCGTCGCCCAGTAAGAGAGCCTGTGGAGATTCCCAGGCCCTTTGGCTTCCAGTCCGGCTAACCTTTGCCTCCGAAAATACAGCTGAAACATGCCCCTTCTCACCTGTGCTTGAGCAAATGCAGCGGGTATGCAGTGATTTTGATTTTTTTCTTTCCTCCTGACTTCTGCATCTTCTCTTTGGACAGTGTCTCAACCTCAAGATTAAGAGACTACGGACATGCTTCTGCTTTGATGCTGTCTGTATTCGTATCTGCTAGTTCATATCCTTCAGAGCTTACCACGTGATAGTGACGTTTGCACTGCTTGGACTCTGTTGTTTTCCTTCTGTCACCTGTTGACTGCCACCTGGACTTCCCTTGCTTTGTCTAGGGGCCCTTTCTATTTACCTGTTGAGCATGTGACAGTATGGGCACCAAGTTTGCAGACAGTTACTGGGCATTAATGATGTTGTAGGAGAACAGGAGTGGGCCGCCTTGTGTGTGGTTTTTGTGACTCCTTTTCTGCACCAGCACCTATACTGCTTGCTGTTGCCTATACCGAGCTCCACTGGCGCTTGCCAAGGCTCCTCACCCTCACTCTGCCACCCCACATTCCTCCTCTTATTTCAAATGAAAAGTAGTAGTTCAGAAACATCTGCAAGATCAGCAGTCCATTTAGACCGGTAGCGTTTCCAGGGAGGATGCTCTGTCAGAGAGGCTGCAGAACTCTGTGGCTGCCTCATCTGCTCTCCTCCCAAGTCCTTAGCTGATTAGCAGTTCTAACAGGCTTATAGGGAGATGGCGCTAGATAGAAACAGGTGAGATCTTCCTTGTAACATATGGAAGAGCTAAAGAGGTTGTGATGGGCACCCCTGCGAACTGGAAAGGGTTAGGATCAAATTAAGTCAGATAAACATTGGACTGAAGATGAAGACCAGGCTGACAAGAGTTTTCAAGTCCTGGTTGGCCAATGGTGCTGTGAGGAGAAATGCTTTCTCAGGATTGCAATAGGAAGTGTAGGGGGAGTTCCAAGTTAATGATTTAAATCTACACAGGGCTTCTTTACAGCACAAGTTTGGGTTATTTTCCTCTTCTTACTTGTGACCTGATATAGCTGAAAGGATAATATTGTGCTCCTGTTTTACCAGCATTTAGTAAACTGCTACTTGTTTTTATTTACTGGAAAAGTTTAAATACTTTCTTTTCATTTATTTGAAAGCATTTGGAAGAACAATAGTCTTGAGTATTCATAACAGTTTTCAATATTAATCTAAATTTTTAGAAGCAGTTTAGATAATCTGGTCTTTATCAAGTTTGTCAAATTATTGTCTTCATGGAAAAATTTATGTGATTTGATTGTCTTGGTAGCCTCTTAAATTGCACAATAGTTGTGAAAGTACGCTGACAATTAGAGCTGTACTGTGAGGATATTTGTTGTCATTTATATGCAAGATGGTAAATAAAGGCATGGCACTCTGTCGGATGTTTTATTTTTCACCCTTATAATGTATGGAAGAACTAAAGATTGTGATGGGTACCCTAAGCAGGGAAGTGAGCTGAACAGGGATAAACATATTAATAAAATCAGTTTTCCTTTATTGTTTAATGTGGCCAGTAGTAACTATACAGGACAGTACTTAGTGAATCTCAAATCATACATGATATTTTAAAGTTAAACAGTATCACTTTCTTCCCATAAACTGGATGTGTTTGTGTGTACGTCAAGGGTTATCTGGGCTAAAACTCAAGATCAGTAAAGAATAGTAAGTTAAAAAAAGGTGAGATATTGTTTCTCTGTGTCGACTAAGCTGGTCTCAAACTCACAGAGATCCACCTGCCTCTCTACTTCAGTGCTGGGATTAAAGGTATGTGCTATAAAGATTAGTGTAGATTCATATTCTTCTAGAATAAATGGCTCTGTATCATCTAATTTAGAGATATACACAATATTCAGAAAATACTTAGACATTGAATTTTTCATATATATGTTACATGGGCTCTATTTTAACAATTGTTTAGCAACAAAATCTGAGCTTGACATTATATCATGTCACTTTCACTAGTGCTTACCACTTGAAGGTACATACTTTGCTTTTGGAAAGTAGTGTATTGCAATACTAGCAGTCTTAATCACTAATTTTTTAGTGGTTAATTACCTAATAACTCAGCCATTATATCTGTGGTAAGGATTAAATGAGATGAGATGATAAAGACTTTCTTTGCAATGAAGGAGCTCACTCCATGTAGGTAGAATCATTTATTTGATGTTTTCCTCCTTAAAACAACTATTGCTCATCCCTAAAGAATACACTCAAGCAAATTTAGGGAGGGCTAAACTGACAAGGGGGAGCCATTAAAGATGATGGAGAGTCTCCTTTTACTGTTGAGTCCTAGATTACAGAAGTCACAGTTGTATAAGCATCCTATAAAAAAAATAACTTTGGAGCAGTACTTTCTTCATGGCTAAGTGCTTTGAGCTCTGAAGGGCTAATTTTATCCACTGGTATGCCTCTATCCATTTCCTCTGACCTCAGAGACTCTGAAGACCTACAGAAAGTTTCCACCTAGCCACCTGTCATAGTCAGCTTTAGCTGTCAACTTGACACAAACCTGGAGTCAGCTGGCAAGAAGAAACCTCACTTGAAAAATTGCTCATGTCAGATTAGCCTGGGGCATGTCCATGGGTCATTTTCTAAACTGATAATTGATGTAGAAGGGCCTGGCCCACTGGGCAGCAGCATCCCTAGGCAGGTTAGGCCTGACCATGTAACTGAGCAAGCTACTAGGAGCTAGACAATAAATAGCATTCTTCCATGGTCCATGCTTTAGTTCCTGCCTCCGAGTTCGTGCCCTTGGTGGTGGACCTATAAGCTGAAATAAGCCTTTTCCTTACCAGATTGCTTTTTATCATAGCATCAGGAAAAGCAAACAAGAATACCACACTAAGAAATGTGGGTGTTTCCTCCTAGCTCCATTTTTATTTAAAGAAATTTCCTTGTTAACACATGGGAGGACCTGGGGTCAATTAAAAATGAAATGGATCACAAAGATAAGTTACTAATTTTTATGAATACTTAGATTACTCAGCAATAGCATGATGGATCCATGGGATACTAGCTTTACATGGGGACTGAGTAACATTTTAAATTATTATGTACAATATTAACCGAAGTGATCTACTTCTTTGCAGCTCAGTTTCCTTACCTATATAGAGACCTGCATTATAAGATCGATGCTTCAGACAACATATAAGGTTGCTGAGAGGGTAGCAACAGCACAAACTTGTAAGCTCCAGGGCATCTGATGCTATCTTGTTACCTCTGAGGGCACCAAGCATGTGCAAAAGATGCACATAACAAACAGAGGTGAAACACTCAAAAAATATTTAAAAAAAAAAAAAGCATGCTTCTGTCCAATGCCATGATGGACTGAACTGGGCCAAGAGACCCACATCCAGGCCTGCCTGGGCTTTGAGGAGGAAACATGGGGCACTATTATGGTGAGCAAATGTATGGTATGTTATGGGGATGGGGGAGAGAGATTCATTTCCTGTGGACAGAGGTTGTCTGAATAGGTGAAAGGGGTTAGGACTGGGCTGAGGTGGGTGGCTTCATTGCCACCCAGGGCCAGAGTGATGTCTGGGCCTGGGCTGATACAGGGGCCCATGTCTAGGTTCATGGCTCTCATGCAGCCGCTGTCTGGGTTGATGTCTGAGGCTCCTGATACCACCAAAGGCAGAAAGGGTAAGGCTGTACAGAGTTGGTCCTGCCCCTCACTGGCTGTAACATTAGGGAGAGCTGGTCCTGCCCCTCACCTGCTGAAGCATTAAGGGAAGAGGGTCCTATACCTCACCTCGGCAGCATAATAGAGCTGACCCTGTTCACAGGGGCGTGGGCAGGCTGGCCCTGAGGGTGTGAGAATAGCAGATAAATCAGGCCCCTCTCTTGTGCCATGTGGTAGTGTGGGTCAAGGAAAGATTCCCTCCTCCCCTCACCCCTGGACACCTGCAGCAGGTGAGGAACTTGACCCAACCCCTCACCAGCTGTAGCACTCAAAAGAACGGGCCCTGCGCAGCACAGTAGAGTTGACCCTGTAGACGGGCACAGATGAGCCAGTCCATAGGGCATGAGAGGGGCATAGATGGTACCGTCTTCCTTGTCTGCAGTGTGGTGGGGTGGGTTGAGGGAAAGATGCCCTCCTGCCTTGCCTCTACTGCCTCCAGCTGGCAAGGGAACTGACCTTTCCCTTTGCCAGCTGCAACACTGGGGAAAGTACCCTACACCTCATCTGGGCAGCACAGTAGAGCTGCCCCTGTTGATGTGGGCGCAGGAGAGCTGACCCGGCCCCCCATCTGCTGTAAGGAGGCATGGATGTAGATGCCCCCCATCGACAGCTGAGGTAGGTGGGAGAACTGGCCCTGAGGTAATAAGAGCGGGATAGCTGTCCCTGCCTGTAGGAGGCTGCTCATTCATTCCCAGCCGCTTAGACCTGAAACAATCACTCAGAAACTATGTTGTTTGCAATACTGTTTGGCCAATAGCTTAAGCATATTGCTACCTAGCTCTTCTATCCTAAACTAACCCATCTCCATTAATCTGTGTATCACCATGAGGTCGTGGCTTATCGGCAAAGTTTCAGGGAGCTCCGGTGGAAGCCTTTGTCTCCTGCAGTGGTTATATGGCTTCACCCTAACTCTGTTTACTCTCTCTCTATATCTCTCTCAGCCTGGCTTTACTCTGTTAAGCCATTGGCTGAAAGCAGTTTCTTTATTAACCAATGGCAATAAAACACGTTCACAGCATACATCACCTCCCACATCACCTGCCCCCCACCAGCAAGGCTAAGGAGGCCAGGCCCCTGCACCTCACCTGGGCAGCACAATAGAGCCAATCCCCTTGGTGGAGGTGTGGCTGAGCCAGGCTGTGAGGGAGCATGGGAGAGCTATCCTCACTATACATCAGTCATGCAATGGTGTGGGTTGGGGAGAGATGACTCTCCTTACCAACCTCACCCCTTACTTCCTGTGACAGATGAGGGAACTGACCTTCCCCCTTACTAGTTGCAGCAGTCAGGAAAGCTCAAAAAAAAAAAAAAAAAAAAAAAAAAAAAAAAAAGCTGGGTATGAAGGTGCATCCCAGCACTCTGGAGACAGAGGCACATGAATCTGAGTTTGAGGACAGCTTGCTGGTCTACATAATGAGCTCCAGGACAACAAGAGCTACATAGAGTCTTAGTCCCCCATCTCTTTTCTGTCTCCCCTCTCTAAACATTATAGTATAGCATGTGAATTTCAAAAAAGAAAAAGTTATATTTATTTTAAAAATTAATATCAAATGGATTGGTAACTACAAAGGTATTGAACTAGAGGACCACTCATTCTTTTCTTCTTTAAGAATTAGGTACATTCCCAATAATTATTAATTGTGAGGAAAATAGGTGCTATAGATCAAATGTTTATGCCCCTCCAATAATATGTGGAAAGATAATCCCCGGTGTGAGGATCAAGGTGGAGTCTTTGAGAAACAACTAATTTGCTTATTGGGGGCTCAGTTTAGGGTCTTAACTGGATTAGATCCCTAAAAGGTCCTCCTTGTGTGAGGACACAACCAAAAGTGCTACTTATGACCAAGAAGCAGAGCCTCATCAGACATCAACTCTACTGTCTCCCTGGTCTTTGATTTCATAGTGTCCAGAACTCCAAGAAATACATTTCTACTGTTTGTAATTCATCCTGCCTAGGGTGTGCTGATATAGCACCCTGAAATGACTAATGGGGTTAGGAGGGCTAGAGAGAGGGTTTCAATTGTTTGGGAAGTACCATTAGTGAGCACACAGGCTTCTGAGCCAGACTATGGAGGAGCAGAGCGTGGCTTCCCTGTTCACTGTATGACCGTAAATCAATTCTTCAGTTCCATCTGAAGCCAAGTAGAGGTCATATATTGAAGTATGTAAAAGTATACAGTATACAAAGGTACAACTGAATATAACCCCCAATAATCACATAATTAGGAATATTATTATTCTGAAAAAAAGTCAAGAAGAATAATAGGGCATATTTCATAAATTTTCTAATATTTATATATACTTGGGTAAAATCATTTCCATTTGATTGCTATGTTTGATCTTCTGATTTCCCAGTAAATGAAAATTATATTATAGATTTTCACAGAATTTTCCATGGCTATCTTTCCATAGCATCATGTTATTGACATATTGTTTTCAATGAGAGTGAGTTTCACTGCCAATTACCAACAGAATATGCTCCATTATATAGGAAACATTCAATCTTCTAACGTACCAAAAACTTAAGATATGATTTATAGCTTTATCTAAACAACTCAAACACTAGGAGAGTCATATTACCCATCCTGTTAAAAGTTTTCATTTAAATTTAAATTCTCACTTACATAATGAGGTTTCATGAAAACACTCTGTGAGATACTGGCCTGGACTGTATTAAATGCCAATGGAGTTGCTTGCTATGCCGCATTATTATCTTGCTGGGATGAGGAAAACGGTCATCACAACCAGAAATGCTAAAAAGTTAAGCCCAGGTAAGTTCTAAATTGGGTGTAAAAGCCACGAGAGCTATAGGAATTTAAAGGATTAACAATGCTAACGTGGTAAGCAGTACGGAAGGTAGAGATGGGAAGAGGCGATTTGTCATTAACCCCAGTATGGACAATTGATTTCTCGGTGCTTCCTGGGTTCCTGGATATGAACCAATGTGATTTAAATGTCCTGTGCGATCCCTGTAGACATTTAAATAAAGGGCCGGCTGTGAGGGGTAAACAAATGATTTAGGTGGCAGGTGTAATCAAATCAAAGATGATGGAAGGCTGGGTTGTTTCATTGGTAGAGAAATCAAACATGGGTAAATAACAAGGGGGAAAAGTCCACATGTAATTTTCTCACTTTTATGAAGTGATGTAATAACGAACTTTTTCCTTCCGCCTGAACTGCCCTGTAACTTGGTTCGGCATTTGATGTTTCTCTGCATCGTGGCTTAGGCTAAAGCCCAAGAGTGTTTGCTGCTTCTACAGCAGTGGGGAGAGTCTTTAGGTACAGAAGCAGTGGAATGCCAAAGAATAGCCCAGAACTCACAAAGCCAGTTGCAGCTCAGTGTCTATTCGTTTACCAAGGAAGTGAAGCAATACATTGATTTCTGCTCGGTAAGGCAAAAAGAAAAAGGAGAAGAAGAAAAGGGCCCAGAAAATAATTGCTATTTCTGGATTTAACCTTTTTGCACCTTTTTATTTTATTTGGAGAACTGATCTATTTTCCAGCAGGGAGAGGTCAGTCTGGATATACCAGCTTTGGGTGGGGACACCAGACTGCATGGTATATGGTTCCTTGTTGGCCAGTGATGTCTCTCATCACCTCCCAGTCTTAGCTGAAGCAGGCACTACCCCTTCCTCACTAGAGGTCTTGGGGGAGTGCTGCTTTTCTTTAAACTCTAATTCCCAGCCGCGCATTTGAGCATAACCATACTCTGGGTGAGAGTCAATTAATTTCCCAATGCAAAGAGCTGTAACACTTTGTTCTAATAGGACCCGAAACATTAAATATGCAGAATTTAAGTCTCTCTTTGGTCTTACCGACCCAAGAATTAACCTCATTATTCTGACTGTAGGAAGCTAAGAGACAGTGGTGATTACAAATACTTTCCCTAAGCTGACTTGAATGGATGACCGTTCTTCTTTCTAAGCAGCTACTTTAGAGACAGTAACTTAGCTGTCTGGAAAAGCTGGTAATTGTTTCTGCCTTCACAAAAGCAAATTCGGGCAAATCTTTGTCGGTTTCATACTCACAGGCATGAAGCAGAAACCAAGATTATAACCCAAGGCAAAGCAGCATTCAAAATCCTCTGAGGTTATGTTTCCTCCAGCAATACCGAAGGGCTAAATTTGTGCATATGGTATTCGCGTGGCCACCATAAGGAGCAGTTACTATTCATTTCAAGGTGAATAAATATCCAATCGCTTCATAGACATCGGCTAACATATACGAACATTAAAATCGTCACAGAAGCTGAAATGAATCTTTGGAATGTCTCCTTTGCATAAACATAAAAACAGCAACGACACTTGTCTTTCAAAATCGGATTCTGCGCAATTCCTCAGTAACCGCCATGAATTTGTGGACGAAATAAGAAAGACCTGTGGCTGGGGAATTCGTTTTTCTATTTCCGAGAAGCTCGATGAGATCTGATTTTATTAGACAATAGCTCCTGTTTTTAAATGTATTTTAAGACAATGGTTTAGAGAATGTTGAGATTAATTTAGAGATTTGCGAATACACATTAATATAATTTTGCATCCGTTTGTGTAAACAAACGCAATTTCCAGATAAGATTCAATTTACAGCATCGTGTAAAAAGACAAAAAGAATACGTTGACTGACAAGCTTAATTACCTGGGTAGCCAGTTCTCGCGCTACGGTTAGATGCAGCTGCTACCCTGACGTCACAGGTTGCCATGGTAGCAACAGCCCCGAAGGAAAAGGGGTGGAGCTAAGCACTCACTGCGGTGCTGCGCTGCGTCTGCAGAGGACGAGGAAGGCTCCTCTGTAGGGCTGACATCTGCCAAAATGAGCGGCTTGGATGAGGGCAATGAGCTCCCACTCGCTAACACCACGACCCCCGCCCATGCCCCGGAAGATCTGGATCTGAACCGTGAGGAAACCGAGGCAGCGCGGGCGATGGAGGATGCAGGTGAGGCCGGTGCGGAGGGAGGCGCGCCCCCGGATTCCCAGCACTGCGGCTCTGCGCTTTGCCTTGCAGTGGCTGAACATTGCTGTGATGCGGCAGCCGGAGAGGGGCTGGAGGATGCTCTGTCCCCATCAAAGGGCGGGGACGCAGCCTCAGTCCCTGTGGCAGCCAACGACAGCAATAAAAATGGCTGTCAGCCTGAAGGGCCGCGCAGCCCAGATGGACCGAAAGCTCTGGAAGCCTGTGGTGCGGTGGGCCTGGGGTCCCAGATGGTGCCAGGGGCAAAGAAAACCAAGGAAATGACAGCGACCAAGTGTGCCACCTCTGTGGCCGCCGGGAAGGAGGGAGAAGCAGGGGCGGCGATGCAGGAAAAGAAGGGGGTACAGAAGGAAAAAAAGGTAGCCGGAGGAGGGAAGGAGGAGACTCGTCCCAGGGCCCCGAAGATCAATAATTGCATGGACTCGCTAGAGGCCATCGATCAAGAGCTGTCAAACGTAAATGCGCAGGCCGACAGGGCCTTCCTCCAGTTGGAACGCAAATTTGGGCGGATGAGAAGGCTCCACATGCAGCGCAGAAGTTTCATCATCCAAAACATCCCAGGTTTCTGGGTCACGGCTTTTCGGAACCACCCTCAGCTGTCACCAATGATCAGCGGCCAAGATGAAGACATGATGAGGTACATGATCAATTTAGAAGTGGAGGAGCTTAAGCACCCAAGAGCAGGCTGCAAATTTAAGTTCATCTTCCAAAGCAACCCCTACTTCCGAAATGAGGGGCTGGTCAAGGAATATGAGCGCAGATCCTCCGGTAGAGTGGTATCCCTCTCTACTCCGATCCGCTGGCACCGGGGCCAAGAACCCCAGGCCCATATCCACAGGAATCGGGAGGGGAACACGATTCCCAGTTTCTTCAATTGGTTCTCAGACCACAGCCTCCTAGAATTCGACAGAATAGCTGAAATTATCAAAGGAGAGCTGTGGTCCAATCCTCTACAATACTATCTGATGGGCGATGGGCCACGCAGAGGAGTTCGCGTCCCACCAAGACAGCCAGTGGAGAGTCCCAGGTCCTTCAGGTTCCAGTCTGGCTAAGCTCTTCCCTTGCAAGAAGCTCCTGCAGGAGAGTCCTACCACCTCCTCGGTTTGGCCAGCAGCATGCAGCCTTTCGTCTGCTTTCTCTTCCTGTTGGATTGTGTCCTTTGGTTCTTCTCAGTCTCTAGTAGTTTCAAGATGGTGGCTTCCAAGTCTATGCTTTCTTTCTCTTGGCCATCACCGTGTTCTGCATAGTGTTAATGGTGTTCCAAGTGCATGGCCTCCAAACTGCTTCTCAGCCAAGCTCACAGTGCTGTAGTTTGTACTGCCTTCCTTTGCATGGCTTGGTTCTTGTCTGTGACCATGTCTTCTTCCAGTTTTTTAAAAGTGGTTCTCTACCACAAGAAAGCTTGACATATCCTTCCCAAGAATTTGCCAGGTCTCATTCTTCCTGCCGTGTTTCTTATTTTCTCTGGACTGTGATGAACTGTGACTTTCACCACTGCAAGATGGAACTGTATCCCAACCCAGCCATCAGCCCATCAGGACATTCCAACCGATCCTAGCTGTCTTCCTGGGCCTTTGCTATTTACCACTGAAGCAGGTGGCTGGTGGGTGACTACTAGGCATGAGAAAAGTAACAGGCCGGGAGTGTTTTATGTTACCACATCGGTCTTGTACCTTTGGTTACTGTGCATTGTGATCAGCTACTGGTGAGTATGAAGGCCTGTGCAATTGCCCACTAGTTCTCTCCTGGTTGAGCTGGGCACAGGCCAACACTGTTCCTCAGGAACTATCTAAGGACCCAAGCTCCTAGGCAGCACACAGGACCCCCGACTATTACCCGTGACTCCGCTGGCCATAGGGCAGGATGTGTAGTCTCATGGGGCAGTGCCCAAAGCAAAGCCCGAGTGCCTCCCTTCTGAGCCCTAGCCAACAAATTACTCGGAATCCAGGCAACTCTGTTAGGTAACGCCCCCTACTCCCGTGTCCACACCCACACTGATTATTAAGTCATAGCTGCCTAGGTTGGGGTGGTTGGAAATCATTTGTGGCACTCCACACAGGGTTTGCTGCCTTTTTTTTTCCTCACTGACTCTTCTTTCTTCCTGTTCCCTTCTCTTTGAAGCAGTTACAGCCTAAAGGCAGAAAAACAAAACTGGCTACAGGTTTGTTTTTTCTTTCCTCCCCGGTCCCCAGTTGTGCCCAGGCAGAAAAAGGTACTGTCGTCTCTAAATCTCTTGTCCTTACTATTTCACCCTTCTCTTAGTAACGTCTGAAAATTTCAAGGGAGGCCACCTCCACTCCCCCCTCCTCCTCCATTCCACCAGATGCTGGGTATTTCTTCAGCTCTAGTTTGAGAAAGAAGAATCTCAACGACTGACTGCAGCCCCTGAGCGAGATGTGAACAAACACAACTAAAACTGCACCTGTTCCTAAAGACGAGCGGGCATTTTTCGGGGCGCAGCCTGTAGAATGACTAGAGAGTAGCCATGTGCGCCATCCCTGTTCTGCTTGTCTGACCTTGGTCCTTACTTATCAGCTTCTGAATTTCCTTCCTTGTTTCCATCCTAACAAAGGAGGAAGCGGGCTGTCGAGTGCATTGTGGGAGACTCCAAGCCTCTTCTGAGGGATGGGGGATGTAAGGAGTCTGGATTTGCAGGGCTTGCTCCTGTGTGCACGCAGTTGTGCAGTGACAGCTCTTAGTTCTGAGCCTGAAGCTGTGGCCCTCACCCATCCTCTTTCTGATTTAAAGAACTTATTAGAAGCTTCCCCAGAGCTCTGGAGGTCTGGATACCTTCAGTAGAGCCCTAGAGAAGGACTAGAGTGAAAGGGGAGCCTATTGCAGAGTGAGTTCTAGGCCTGCTGTGATGATTGATGTCTTGCAGGAGCATGGCTGGGGGCAGTGGTCACTGAGGCAAGTTTCTAGTGCAGAATGGGGAGATCAGATGGGTTGGGATTTAAAAAGGATGCTTGGAGGAGTTTTTCCTAATTCTCAACTTCGCCAATAGATCCTTTGTGAACAGATCTAAGTCTGGGTGTTTTCTTCTCCAGATTCTCGGAGTGACCTTTGTCTGTGGGAGATCAACGGTGTGCACTCCTTCTCCCACTGTGCTTGACCAAACCCTATTACTCCCTGTCAGCTGACTGGCAGAATTGATGTTTACAAGCCTGCCTTTTGCTTATCATTGAGAGCAAGTGCAAACATTTGAATATCTGTCCTTTGCAGTACGAAGCCTCCGTGAATATTCATTACTAGATTAACTTATTTTGGTGTCTATTCCTATATAGCTGTATTCTTAGAAACACAATCCACATAATGTGATCTTTGAAGTCCGAAGATTTTGAAAACTGTTGCTATGTCTTGTAAAAGTGATTTCAAAAGAAAAAAACGTAACTTGTCGTACTGATATTTCCTGCTGTAGTAATACTTGACACTATGTTTTACCAGTGTGGGACTAGAACGGCCACCACACTAAATGAGACTTAGTCCTTTGTCTTCTCCTGTGTGCTTGAAGTAAAAACATGTTACTGTTATGTTTCTTGTCTTCACCAAAAAGAAATAAATGAATAAAGATGAATAAAAAGCTCTGTGCTGTCTGGGATAACACAGGCTGGGCAACGATTAGCCGCTTCACTCCTATTCACAGGGCCACATGAACTGAGCATAGGGCCAGCAGGTGAGAGATGATGTGAGCTGGTTTTGAAGCTGCACGGTGAATAACTAGAGAACCTGGGTGTGGTAGCAAATGAATGTGACTGCAGCTCTCGGGAGCCTGAGGAAGGAGGAGGTGGAGTCTGAGGCCAGCGTGGGCTACAAAGCAATTCAGAGGCAGCTGGGCTGCCACACACACACACACACACACACACACACACACACACACACACACGTATGTATTTATATAAACACACACATATATATCCTTTGATCCAGTTTTAATACAAGATGTATATGGAATATATGCCATATACACGTGTTTATATATTTCTCTATATATCTTGTATTAAGGCTATATCAAGGGAAGGAAATTAAGTTCTAAAACTGAGAAAGAAAAAGAAATTCAAGGGAATGGAGCAGGCGCAGGGCTGTAGGAATGAGCCAGCTGTTTGGCAGTGACGTCGACAGGATGTCGGTGTCTAGCATTCACAGCAGATTCAGCAGCACAGCACGGAAGCCATGTTAACCTGCAGTGAGTGGGTGGCGCTGTGTCATCAGGAGGAACACCTTTGTTAGACTAAAGCTGAAAAAGGAAAGGCAGAGTACAGTGGTGCTCAGACTACATCTAGGATAGGAAAAAGGCAGAGGCCGCAACAGATAGTTAACCTGCAAACTCTCCGAGCTCAGAAATCATACCAGCAAGGCCTGCATGTAGGAAATGCATCAGGTGCCAGCAATCTCAACGACTAGCCAGCTACCTGGTAGTTTGTAACTCAGCAGAAATCTTGGCACATTGTCAAATTTTTGCTTAGATGGCTAAAATACTTGGTTATTCATTTTTATAACCCGTATACGGATAATGTGGATGTATTTAGCCTCTAGACCTTTCTGGAACAGTGTCTGGGGAAACTATCACTCATAACTGAAGTTGTGAAATCTTTTCAGTGTGTCTAGGTATATTTCAGTCACATACTCATACTTTGGGTATTCCTGTTGACGGTTTTGTCTTTTGAAGATGGTGTCATCATGTGTGCAGCCCAGGCTGGTTTCCAACTCTTGACTTCCCTGCTTCTGTTCCCTACGTGCCAGGGTTACAGGTATGTGCGCCTGAGCACTCCCTAACTATTTATTCATTTATTTAGAGACAGGGTTTGTGTTGCTTTGCAGCCTGTTCTGGAACTTGCTCTATAGAGCAAGCTGGCCTAGAGCTCACAGAGATCAGCCTGACTGTGCCTCCCGAGACAGGGTTTGTGTTGCTTTGCAGCCTGTTCTGGAACTCGCTCTATAGAGCAAGCTGGCCTAGAACTCACAGATCAGCCTGCCTGTGCCTCCCGAGTACTGGGATTAAAGGCATGTGCCACCCCCGCCCGGCTTTGAGCCCTACTTTCAAAGCACCACACCGTTGGAGGGAAATCATTTAACATTCACACATTCCATGATGTTTCTTACAGAGGATATTTTAAGCCCCTTAAGACTTAGACCAAAGGAGGCACTGTTAGCATAAACCGAAACAAGGATGTTTCCGTTCACAAAGAGTATCATCTTTCCAATGACAACAGTATATAAGTGATAAAGATCAGTGTAATCCTTAAATTTCATTGAAAAACCCACTGGTTATGTTAGAAAGTTCCCTGCTTTTTAGTGCATGTAACTAGGAAAGAAGAAACCCAGGCTTGAAAGATAGCTCTGTGGTTAAGAGCACCTGTTACTCTTGCAGAAGACTCCTGTTTGCTTCCTGGCACCCAACTCTAGTGGCTCACAATCATTTACAGACCAGCTTCAGGGGATCTAATGCTTTCTTCTGGCCTCCATGGGCAGTTGCATGCATGTGTACATACAGACAAGCAAGCATACACATAAATAAAATGATATATATTTCTTTTATTAATATTTTTAATTTAAAAAATTATTTATGTGTGGGTGCCTGGTACATATAGAGACCATGAGGCCAAAAGACAGCTTTGATTCCTTGGAACTGGAGCTACAGACAGCTGTGAGGTGCCCAGGTCTTCTGCAAGAGCAGAAAGTTATATATTCAATGCTGAGTCATCCACCTCTCCAGCTCCCTCTTTTTAATTTTTACATTACTTCCACCCTCTATTTTAAATTTTAATTTTTTATCATTGTGCATATTTGGGCACGAGACTGGCACAGCATATGTGCAGAAGTCAGAGAACAAGGCAGTGGGGCCAGGTCTCTCTTTCCACCTGCACCTGGGTTTCAGGTCCTCAGACTTGGGCAACAAGCACTTTTATCCCATGCCAGCTCCTCAGCCCCGTGTTTACCTTTCCTATCCATTTAGGAACACTGACACTTTTTATGAACCATGAAATAAAACTGAAATGTAGCTTAATAAAGACTCACTAGAGTCGGCTGTGACAAATCAGTGGGTGTGAGGAGAGTATTCTCTGAACTCGACTCTTCTTTGTGAGGGAAAAAAGGTGAGGTCAGGTAAGAGGGTGCCTCGGTCAAGGTTGTCATGTGGGAGCTGGCAAAGGACTTTTCACTTGAAGTTACTTTCCTCTACTCTTTAGTGATCAAAAAAAGTACAATTGATTTTCAAATTTGGGGCTTCTCAATTTTTAGGCCACAGACGGCTCAGTGGGTAAAGGCACTTGTTCCAAGTGTGGTGAGCTGAGTTTAATAATGGAACATACAGGGCAGAGGGAAAGCGCACACACACACACACACACACACACACACACACACACACACACACACACACAGAGTAATAAGCATTTCTGTCCAGTAACACAAGAAACATCTAGAAGGGAAAATAGCTTTATTTTGAAGTTAAGTGAAAGCCTACAATAGATAGCATCTTTCATTTGGCCCTAAGCTTGATTGTGCATGCTTAATATAACACTCAAATGACATTTTGGATATCAAATACATATATATCATAGATACATATATATACCAAGTATATATATGTATACTTATCGATCAACATCAAAGACGCAGATGATAAAGAAAAAAGTTATCCTTTTAATTACCCTGAGAAATGCATCCTCATAGTACACTTTGGATTTCATCTGAACATTGACAAATTTTAAGAAAATAGATTTTCAATGCATATGTTAATATGCTAAATTCCAAGAAAAAAATAATGATAATGTTTTGTAGTCCTGTCTATTATAGACAGGGAGGTTAACCGTCAAAAGGGGTCCCAGAAACTTACAAAAATATCAACTGAATCTAAACATCTTGTATGAACATGATCCGAAGCAAAGTTACTACCATAACCAATCGAAACTGCACAGAACACCTCCCCTGACCTGGAGCGGATGAATAAACTTGTGCTTCTTTCAGCTGCTATTTTCTCTTCCCAAGGACAAAGCTGGAACTGAGCTGAATAGGTACAAGTTTAACTTCTTCCTAACGGGAGACATTACTAAGAAGTAAGGCTATGTTATTTGAAGAAATCATGTCCTTTTACTTATGTATTTTGTGAAAAAAGCAAAAAGCTTAATAGCTTGGAAAAAGAATTGAGTTTCACTAGACTCTGGTGTTCACTATGAATTTTGGTTACATTTTTATTATGGACATGGGAGAGATGTGAAGATTCAGCTGTATTTATCCAAACAAATCTATTTTGGAGTACAGGGTTTACTCACTAGGTCTCAAATTATAGTTGAGAATCACATTCACTGGAAGGCTTGTTTAAAATCCATTGCTGGGTCCTACTCCTAAAGTTTCTGATTTTAGGTTTGGAACAAGGCATTCAAATTTGCATTTTTAAGATCTAGGTTGTTCTGTATCAGTCTGTGAACCAGGCTTTGGAAACTGCTGGACTAGGTAGATATATAAATATATGCTTGCATATGTGTTTGTTATCATCTTGGAAGAATTCATAAAACTACTAGTATAGAAAATATTAATTCATGTTCTTTTTTAGTTTAGGGCACTAACATTTTTTCTGTAACAACTGTTAAACATTAAAATGATTTATAAAAAATTATATATATTTTAAAAAGATATATTAGCAAGTACCCATTTGGTAAATTTTCATTGAAAAATTATTCCTATAAATTGTTTGCATTTTTTGAAATTTATCATTTTTTAGCAATATGTCTGCTGCACATATGGTTGGTTCATTTTTCAGTAAGTATTATTTTGCTGTCTGTGTCTTGAGAACCCAAGGTATAATGGACCGGTGGATAGTAACCAGCTGTCTTTGAATTGTTTGTAGAGAATCTTGTAAATTTGTAGTCCAGGGGTAACTCTGGAAGGGAAGGAAAAGAAAGACTTTTATAAGCCACCAAGCTCCTTTCATAAATACAAACAGATTAAAATTCAGTGTTCATGAACAGAACAAGAACAGCAATAATAGTCACATTATTGCTGTGGATGGGGAATGACCATGAAGCTTCTACACTACATGAATAACTACAGATGCCTAAGGAATTCTGGGAGTGGAAGACATGGTCTTCCCCAGGGAAGAGCATACCACTGATTATCCAGTGCCAAGTGGTTAACCTTGAGAACAGGCACATACAAGCATGTTATACAGACTGAGCAGTTTGTAGCTATGTATTCAGGAATACTTATGTATATATATATATATGCATATAACAATAATTAATGAAAAAAGAGGCCATGAATTTGAGAGCAAGGAGGGATAGATGGGAGGATCTGGGAGGAGAAAAGGAAAGGGGGAAATGACGTAATTATAATATAGTGTCATGAAAACAAAAAAGTAATAAAGCAAATCAGTCTTTCTATTTTATCAATAATTTTGATATTGTGCTACAGATAGGTTGGCACAGAGTATAGAGTAAATACATAAAATTTACTATATGATGTGTATTTACACATACTACACATAATCCCCAGAACTCCGCCCAAATTATACTTTACATTAGGTGCCATTGAGAGGCATCAAGACTCAAGCAGTC